GTGTGCAATTCACCCAATATTGGAATAGGCTGCTGTCCAAATGCATATAATGTTTTTGTACACTTTTCTAATTTCGGTCTATTCAATATGTTATACGTCTTTAAATTGATTATTGAAACGGTTGCGCCCGAATCTAATTGAAACTGTTTTACTTTGTTAAAGATTTCTAAATTGATACACTTTTTATTCGCTTCAACCTCTATTATGCCATTTGCAATGTTCACTGTGTCCATGGTACTAACATATTGTTCATTTTCTTGTTTGTTTTGATCCCATTTTCGCTCTGGAATCGTTGTGCCTTTTCTCATACTGTTGCTTTGATTTGACATACAAACTGCTGCAATGTGGCCCTTTTTTGCACATTTATTACATATCGCTTTACGAAATTTATATTCTTCTCTATTGTGCGAAAAGCCACAACCTGCACACGACTTCAATTTCACTTGTTTCATTACGTTAGCATTTATGTTCTGTTCTCTTCTTTTTTGATCTTTTCTTGTTCTTTTCCAATTTTTGCGTGTCTGCATTGTATTCACCTGCATGGTGGATGAATTCGTATTCTCTTTGATGGTTGCTACTGTTTTTGTTGTTGTCTCGTATGTTTCAGCTATTAAGAGTACGTCTTCTAGGGATGGTTGTAATTTTTGAAGAGCGGCTGCCGGACTTGATCGCATGGTGTGGTAAGTATGATTTGATCTCGAATCATTTCATCTACAAAGTTTGCGGAACAGTTCGTGGCGGAACAATTAAATTTACATTCCCTTGCAATTCCACGAAGTTCGGCAACCCATTCACGGTGCGTTTGCGTATAACGTGCTGCGACTACATGACGTTTCGATTGGAAATGTTCCGTTAATTTGTCTGTCAACTGADTGTATGTTTGCGATTGCAGGGTTGCAACGCCGAATAAATTCTTTAAAAGTTCGAAYAATTCCATACCGACCCATGATAGAAAAAACGATTTTTGCTTGTCTGGACTGCTTACCGAATAGGCCATAAAATGTTGAGAAAGTTGCTCCAGGTAGGATTCCCAATTCTGATGGTCTTTATTAAATACGTGGAACGGCGGAACCACTGTTGCTTCTTTTATACGATTAGGACTGTCAGCGTTGAACATCGACTGCTGAATTGACTGCATCCACTGTTTCTGCTGTTCGAGCAACGATGCCGCGAAATTTTGTTGCTGCTGCACTAGCTCTTTTATAAGGCTGTCGTTTGTCATTTTGACGATTTTACACTACCTCACTTCGCTTTTTCATTTCATTAAATGTGTTCAGATGATGAATTTAAAGCCTCGTCGCCAATTAATGTTGTGTTTACATACATATGTATATGTTCTAAGTATTTTATATCAAAGCACACAAGCATGTACTTACAAATTGAACTATTGCATGATGAATTCCTTAAATATTTGGAAATATATAATAAAATCATATTTCTATTATTACCTCATTATTTAATTAATATAGGTTTGACAAAATATATATGTACATATGTATTTACATACATAYACCCCTTCATATTTATTTGCAGGCCTTTAGCTCTAGAATGGTAAACATATTTTTTTGCTCTTTAATGGTAATCTTCGCCTGTGAGACGACTTTTATAAACCCACATTTTACCCTTAACAAAACAAAAATTTATTAAAACAAAAACAAAAACGTATATAGTACATTATTATATTGCTTGGTAATAAAAATAAACAAAAAACAATTTGTTTTTTAAATATCTTAAATATATTATTGGCAACATTTATAGATCACATATTTTATTAGTAGTATGAATAGATCTTTTACAAAAAAAAATATAAAAAATTAAAAAACAGTTTGAGATCAAAAAATAAACTTCAGTGTCTTGTAGACCTTATATCTAA